TTATGTTGCACCTCTACTTTTGCCATTATATAGAAGGAGTATGTTTTTGTACTGTTTTTATACTCCCACAAAATTCAGTAGATATTCTATTAAGTAGGACATTAGTTCTCCTTGAACTTCTGATTTCTTTGGAATCAACCCTCTACATTATTATTACAGGGTATATGCGGGGTTAGGGTTAAGAAAAGTCTTAAAATGCCTAAAATCCAGTAATTTGAATTCAAGGCCTTAAAATGTCTTAAATTCTCTTAAAATCTCATAAATGTCTTGAATATGATTTTGAAAGGTCTTAAAAGTGTATTAACTTTACTTCCAAATAAATAACGTGCCATACAAATAAAGATTGATTTGAAGTAATGTAAATTGCTCAGATTTCCTTTCATGTCTTTTGAACTTTTTTTGACAGTATGGATGTAAAACAGATCTTAAATTGTATTGATTATGGTCTTAAAATTTTTTAAAAAATCTTTGAAAGTCTTAAGTTTGACTTGTTGAAATCTGCAGAGACCCAGCTTTATTATTTTTATTTTTAATATTATTAGTCTTTAGTTTAGGGGCAAATTTATGAGAACTTCTTCAAGGAAATGAAGGCCTACATCTCTGCTCTTGTTTTCAACAGGATGTGCAACATGACACAAGTTTGAATCACTGTAGAATGACAAACGACGGCAATAATTCTTCCTCCTCTTCCCAAGACTTCGTCCTCCACACATCGAGATCGTAAATTCTATCTTAAAGCAACGGAAATATTCTCCCTGCAATGCATAGTAACACAGATGGATCGTGTCCGTCTAATACTGGTGAGCAGTTGTCGGCAGTATGCGTTCAGTATATCTTTGCAGTACCTCGACATGCTCATGTTGTAATCTGAGAAGCAAACGTCCAACACCTTCTAGCCCACCCTGGGAGAGAAGGTAGAGAATCCAGAGCAAAGGTTAAGTTCGGCTACTGCTGCTTTCTTTGACTTTAAGTCTGTTATTTAAGTTATGTGCCATTATCTCATTGTAAAACAAGCACAGATCAGGCAAAAACAGAGGCATAGGACAAGAGAACAATCCACGCCTTGATATTATTCCAATAATCTAAAATCACCGTCCTTTTCCGCTTGACTTCCTTAAGTATACAACCATTGTGTTTGCCTAAAAGAGCATGAAGGATTTTTTTAGACAAATATTAACACATAAACTCATGAAAACTCCAGGAATGGCTTTTCAGAGCAAGGTCACTTATGTGGTCAGTGAATGCATCATTGGGTTTGGTCACACAAATTACCACGAGTAACAGAGACTCTGTTTGTGAACTGTTTGTGAACTGTTGTGCACATGAAGACTGGGTCACCGGCTATGACAGTGAAGTATATTTGAGATAGCAGTCTTCTCTAGAAATAAATGAAAATAATTTCAACAAATGTGGACAGGATTTTATATATTTTTGGTAACACTTTACAATAACCATAATTTATAAATGGTAAATATATAGTTTATTAATGTTTAATCATTTAAAAACAGCATATAGACCATTAAGAAATGGCAAATAGATAGTTTATTAATGTAAATAAATTACTTTACCATTAACAAGCAATGAAATTATAATTAATAATTTTCATTTATTACTAATGGACTATTTATTAACGGTTTATATAGGGTTTAAATGTTGGTTGTAAAACATCTAGATTAAAATGTGTGTCAGTAGCACTTTGTGAATAGTTAAAATTTGTTTTTTAAACCATCTATAAACATACTTAGATGGTTATTGTAAAGTTGCAACTGATGTTTGTAATACTTTGTAAATGATTACATGTTTTATTAACCACCTATAACCAGGTGGTTACTATCTGCTTACCATTTATAAATGGTCTATTTACCATTTATAAGTTATGGTTGATGTAAAGTGTTACCATATTTTTTATGATTCATTAGATTGTCTCTTTTTCACTGACAACACGAATGATGCTTCAAAGAGTAGCTGCATTTATCCTTTACTATAATGTGACACGGATGAGCACGTGCAGATGAGCACAGATCTTATGAAATAATAGAAATGAGGAGAAAGTCATGAGCTGGTGTTTTCCTCGTTACAACTGATGATGTAGAGATTTGCAGGGAAATATTTTGTCCACTTTTCTTACAGAAAGTATGACTGCTGATATTTATCATAACAAGCAAGCAAAACAACAACCATTCAGCATGTCAGTACATGCTGCATTATCTTTCAGTCTTTCACCACTCCTCTTAAATTATACAAGATAACACCTTTTGAAGGATCTTTGTCGAATAATCTGATATAAAAACACTGTATCTAGTATTTCTTTAAAAAGCACAATTCAAGTGTTGGTATGTTTAAACCACAAAGCCAAGCACGGTACAGAATGAAACAAGCGTGTTTTCAGTCTGATCTTTTTCCTTATCGCTCCAAAAGTGGGTCTGTTTAAACTGCTGATATCGAGAAGATTGTGCAAAGCTGCTGTAGCTACAAATACTTCTGAAGCAAGAATGCCTTGAAATAATGATTGTTTACTTTTTATGAAAGTGCAGATTTGTCCAGACAAAACACCCTCTGTGCTGCTATTTGTTGTTTTATAAAACATACAACCATTGTGGAAGAAAGTTTGAGTAGAAACTCAAACTACAGATCAGTTTGAGCAAACAGCAGTGATCGAACAAAGGCTCAAAAGCTGCCCAGAAGTTTTCATTTGGTGTTTTTTAAGGTTTACAGGCACATTTTCTATATAGTTCAGAGACATTAATACATGAAATGGGTAATTATGGGGAAACCAATTAAAACTTACATGTAGTAATGCTGCGTCCATCTTGTTTCCACCTCCGATTTTGCTTTTTTCCGACTTGGTAACTAAAACGTTGGTAACTCGGGTGTGACGTCATTCCCAGCTCGGACATCTGACTTCCGAGGTAACTCGAACGCAGCATAAGGTTACATTTTATGTTTTTTGTCCAATTTCTTCTCTATACTATAATGAGTCCGAGCTCTACATTCGGATTTTCATGTCCAGTTGAACCAGGTCTATAACAGTGGGTATTCTTTTACAGGGTGAAGCAAAAGTCATGATCCAGTTAGTGACTTGAAATAGATATAAGAGTGAAGGAGGAACAGAAAAAAAAAACCCAAAATACTTTTCAGTTGGCAGCTCTCAGTCCTTTGACTTTCTCCCCAAAGGAGCTTCAGATATTTTTCTTTCTGGGAAAAGGGTGCAGTGATTTTGTGAGAATTAAAGCCTCAGTGAGCACCGCTGACCACTAACACTGGGCACTGCTTTCAGTTGGAGTCATACAGCTTTTCACATGTTTCACAGCCCTCATTTCCTGGAGATCAATATCAGGAGGGCACCCAATAAAAGCAGCTACAGTTTCCCCTTTGGCACAAAAATACATTTATTTTTAGTTATTTGAAGTAGTTTGTTTTTCTCCTTGTAAGAGTCTTGAACACGCCTTAGTCTAAGCAGGAGCAGCTCTGTTAAGAGCAGATCATTATAGTAATTAAGAAATTAAAGCAAGTTTTCTAAAAGGTCCTAAAAAATAAATAAAGTGAATGTTTTTATTGTGTTTTTGTTATATGAAGGTTACAGTCACCCGATAAGAAATGTCTTTGACAGAAACATGTAAACATTAAAAAAAAGAAGGGAGGGTCCTCTCTGAGCGTTTTCTCTCTCTTATTTAAAAAAAAAAAAGCAATTTCATCCTCAGTCACATCAAGCATGCCATTTCTCTTAAATGGACAATATAGAAAGTATGTTTTTATTTGCTTTGATTCATCAAAAAGTGACAGACCATGTTATTCACAGATATTTTGTTTCCTCCAAATCTGGAGCTCTCAACCAACCCTCAGACCCCGAACACAAAATAACTCCCTTTGTGAAGATCCACATCTCTACAACAGCGGGTGATGGTGCTCGTGGAAAATACAGTCTTTATCTCGGGAAAAGCACCATCAGATTTATCCGAAGAGGTCCCCAGAATAAACACGACATGTAAACTCCTAACAGTTGGAGAATGAGGTGATATCAAGACATTTAATCTCACACCAAACCAACTTTAATACCAAACAGATAAAGAAGCTGTGATCACTTGTGCGGCTCAGTGGTTAAAATGTTCTCCTGTATAAAATGTACAGCAGTCACAGGTGTAATTTTTGGCTGCATGGCAACCCTCGCTCTTTAATTTTATGTGTTTCTTGTCTTTAATTGTCAGTACCGACCCCCTCCCTCACCCCGATCCAACAACTGATGAATTTTCATCATATTATTTGATTTTCCCCCTAAAACAATCTATATGATAAAAACGATGTTAAGACGTGTATAAATTTCTTCGAATGCTGTTAAAAATGCAGCTTAAAGAGAAGTGACTGATCTGAAGCAAAGCTATGCTGCATATGGGGGCCACGGTTTTGAATTTCAAGTTGAGCATAAATCTGTAAAGTGAGAGTATGTTGCATATACAACTTGTCAAACAGGATTGCAAAATCCATATATTTTCCTCAAGTTAAGGATTACCATAGCTCTTTATTTTGAGATTCTTTAGGGCTGAAGTTGATCATTTTCAGAATTAACAAACTGGTGATCTGATATGTTGTTTATTTTCCTGCAAGTGTAAATGACTCCATGAAATTTGTGCTTACTGCATCAGCATGTCATCGTATCTCTGATATGATTAAGATGCTGAGTCTGATTCGGTGTGCCGCTGCACTTTGAGCAACAGTGCCTCTGTTTGCAAAGCCAGCAGATCTCCTAACTCCTCCCCCATGAGCTGGCTGTTTAATTCCCGTGAGGTGATGCCTGGTTAGTAACTTAATAAAGCTGCTGGATGCAATCCCGGGGCACAATGTGTGGATCATGTTCCTCTGACAGACCTGCTCTCTGCTCTACTCCTCCGCTCACACTGCCTACTACTTTGCTGTAAGTACTACAGGTCACGGCCATTTCAACTTTTACTTGGGATGAGTGGGGAGGGAGAGATCTCGGCTGGTTGAATAACTCTGCAGGACTTATGAATGAAAACACTTCACAGACAGCAGGGACAGAGACAGGGAGAACATGTGATTGCTTTTGGTAAGTTTCAGCCTTTTGATCTGGAGAGAAATTATAAAGTTATTAGTGCAGGTTTTCAGCAACTTTAATGCCTCGGAGGGGGACTGAAAATTAAATGTGTATTTTCTTTGATAACCTAGATGTTTTGATCAGAGTAAATCAGTCTTCAACATTTTAAGTGAGGAGACTTTCCTTTATCCTGATGTGACTTGAATGAGTGACAGCACTGTGTGAGTTGGCAGTAAGTGTGATAATTGTGCCCTGTACACACACAGTGTGTAAAGAGTGCTCTGTGTGGCTTTTTGTGGTGGGAAGTCAGTGGCTTAAATCCCTGGTGGAGTTATAAATGTTGTGCCTACAGGCTGCCGTACTGATGGGCTTCACTACATTTCAAGCTACACACACAGACACACACATACACACAACAGGAATACATAAGTAGGCTAATCATTTCTCTCATTATTCTTATTGCCAGGAGGTTCTTGTCCTGGTGTAACTGTCAGAGCATAATGGTGGCTTTCAAAGGGATCTGGACTAAGGACTTCTGGAGGGCCGTGTCTGGAGAATACCTGGCCACTCTCATCTTTGTGCTTCTCGGTCTGGGCTCCACTATCAACTGGGCTGCAGGGGAGGAAAAGCCCCCACCAGCTGATTTAGTCCTTATCTCCCTTTGCTTTGGGCTGAGCATCGCCACCATGGTTCAGTGTTTTGGACACATCAGCGGTGGACACATTAACCCCGCGGTCACTGCAGCTATGGTGGTAACCAGAAAGCTGAGTCTGGCAAAGGGGTTGTTCTATGTGGTAGCCCAGTGCCTGGGAGCCATCACAGGAGCCGGGATCCTCTATTTCGTCACTCCTGCTGCTTTTCGAGGCTCATTCGGTGTGACCACAGTAAGATTCTCACCGTTTTAATCTTATATTTGCAAACTTTCTCACTGTTATGAAAGATTAAAAATTGTACTTTTTATTTTCAAGGTAAACAAAGACCTCTCAGTGGGCCATGGTCTTCTTGTGGAGCTTCTCATCACATTTGAACTGGTTTTCACCGTCTTTGCCACGTGTGATCCTAAACGCTCTGACCTGGGAGGGTCTGCTAGCCTTTCTATCGGGTTAGCTGTAGCCATTGGACACTTATTTGCGGTAAGTATTCTCGGTAACCCTTTCTTTTATGGTACATTTATTACCAGGTAATTAACAGGTAATTACCTAGTAACAACATGAAACTATCTGTAATTACATGATAACTACTAAGTCAATACTGTCTAGCTACCAGGTAGGTAACCTTCCATCATCATACAAATTTGAAGCCGAATTGCTCTGGTATTTCCAGGATTTTCTCAGCTTCCTGGAACCATCACTTGCTCAGTAGCATTGTACGCATTCGGCGGGTGAGTCGCTGTGATAATGCTCGGCTCAAACAGCGTATCGCTACGCAATCTTCGCACGCCCATAGGCTGTATCAAGTGTCAATCATAGAAAATAAGAACCCCAGATAGCTTTTGAAAATGGATCTGTACAGAAAAAAGAAAAAAAAAGAAAAACTAGACAGTACTGACTTTGTAATTATCATGTTATTACCAGATAAGTTCATGTTGTTACTAGGTAATTACCTGTTAATTACCTTGTAATAGGTGTACCGTAAAAGAAAGGGTTACCGTATTCTCCAATAAGCCAGTTGATAATAGAAGATCGATAGTAGCTAGGTGATGACCAAAGAACTTCAGCTTCTTATCCCATTTTTGTGTAGTTCTCAAAACAAGAAGTTCCTGCCACAATCACTGATTCGTTTTTACAGTGCGTCAAATGGTGAATTCCTACATTATAACCACACTACAGTATAATATCTCCTCATAACTGCATCTGTACTTCAGTTAACACCGTCCTGAACTCCCAAATCTAAAAGCAAAACAGTGGTTCAAAGAGTCACTTTGAAAAGAAAGATGTCTTAAATATAAACCAACATAAAAGAATCAAAGAACAAGGCTAACTCGAAGTGCAGGCGCCTTGAGTACACGCTGAAAGCTTAAAGAACTGATGCCTCTTGAGAAAGAGCAGGTGCATTAAAGCATCTCTCCCTCACTGTGTGATATTGTCGGCCTCTCGCTGGTTCACACCCACATGCACATCTTCATTGGAGGCTGCTATCGCATAGCAACTGATCTCTGGGGGGGGGCGGGAGGGGAGGAGAGGGTGAGGGTGGGGGGGGCTCCCTGAACCCTGCAGAGCAAATGAATGCACAGGGAAATAGATGTTATCTCTCGCACTGCTCTGAAACTGATTTCTCCCTGCGTCTGTTTAGCAAATGCATAGATTAGGACTCGTAATTGGTGGTTTTTGCTGCATAAAACACGTTCTGTAGGTCAAACCAGGACAGCGTCACAACATAAAACACACCTCAGATCATTAGTTCTGCAAAGCTTTGATTTACTATCACTCCTGTCAATGCTCTCACTTTTTCTAGATTCCCTACACAGGAGCCAGCATGAACCCCGCTCGATCCTTTGGGCCTGCAATAGTCACTCTAAACTTTGAGCACCACTGGGTAAGAGATACTTTTTTAAGAGGGTTATCTGTCATTTAGGTGTTAGTGCAGCCAAATATCACACTCCTACTCCTGATAATGCCTGGGTCAGTGTGGATGGACTTGTGCCATCTCTGTAAGAGCTAGTATGTGCTTTCTAGTGTAATAAATCAGCTTATTGGGTGAGATCCAATGCCCTGGTGTCCTGCTTGATACTCTAAAATGATCTGCAGTGGCCAGTGATGATTTTTATCCATGTCCTGAGGAGGGCACCAGGCTAGTATGGCATGTTGAAACCTGGTAAGGTCACATATTCAGCATCATGGCCAGAACAGAAAAAACAGCTGTGACCCAAAGACACCTTCAAAGAGTAGTCTCTCGCTTCTGTCAGTAACGGCAAGGTAGAAAACCTGAAACAGGTGTTTTAAAAGCGTACTACACCCTGCGTGTGACCCTTTAAAACCTTTGCACCTTAAAAAACTAGTGCCAAAGAATCAAAACTTTATAGCTTTTCCTCCTCCTACATAACATGATATCTAGAGAGGGTGTAAAATAGCATTAGCTCTGAATTTATGTATCCAGGCAATTATTTCCACTGAGGTGTTTGTAGACAGCGTGGTGCCATGTGGTGGGAGTGAGGAACCGTTTTCCAGAAGTGTCTTCTTTTGGAGGTAAATGCCTGATGTTGTAGACTCTGATCTACCTGCCTGTGACGAAAGCTGACCCTCTTTTTTTCTCAATTTGTAACCTAACAAATCAGGACATGTTGTTGACAGTAATAAACATCTCCCATGGGCCCTGATTAACCAGCTGACTCATTAAGGTGTTTTTCTTGCTTTTTATGCTAGGTGTACTGGCTGGGACCCGTTGTAGGGGGCATCCTGGCTGCAGGTCTGTACGAGTACCTGTACTGCCCCGACCCCGAGATGAAGAAGAGGCTGAAGCAGGTCTTCCAGAAAGACCCGTCAGGGAAATACAGGGAGGTGGAGACAGATGATCTTGCCATTAAGCCGGGCTCTATCTCTGACATAGAGAAAGGCGAGAAAAAGGATCCTTTCCAGGACTCAACGGGGGAAGTGTTGTCTTCAGTATGACTATCACGTGCACTGGAAATGGAGACCAATCTGTAGTCCTGAGTGGCAATCAAACTTTGGAGTATCCATCTCAAACCTGCCACCCCCAAACTGGCTCCAAAGACTTAAAATCCTCAAAGCAGAATATGATTTCTGTCTATGAGGCTTCACAGAAAAAAAGGCTGAATTACTCTCATTGTCATAAAGCTAATACACTGTTGTGACTCAATCCCACAACCTGTTCAATACTCCTCCTGAGGCCCCGTCTGAACGATTTCGTAGCAGTGTTGGCATGCAGCGCACACGTTGCACCCTGCAGGACGACAGCGGCGCGATACATTGTGTTGAGGAAATATGCGGAGGGGGGGGTCGAGCAATTATGTGGGGTCATCATGCTGAATTGGAGAAGTGAAGAAGAAAATGCAGGCTTGTTATTTTTGGATTAGTGTCACATTTGGTCCACGTACTGTATATGTAATAACAGCAGAGATTTTCCTTGTGATCATTAAGCACATTACAAGTCCCGAGCCATGTTAGACAGCTTCAACAAGCTTTATTATCAGAGTAGTGTTACAGCGTTCTCTATTTTCAGTGCATTAGTCGGGGAAACAGCCAGCTCATCATTATGGAGACGCTCTCAGAGTCTGTCTCAATTTTTCCAGGTGTATTTTCTTTATTGTACATCATGGTTTTATTTTTTTATTTCAAAGAATTAATCCTTTTTTTGCTGTTTTTGAAGTTTCGATGTAGATGTAGAAAATGTATTTCTCTCTGTGATTTACCAAATTTAATTCTGGAGTATTTATAAAAGTCATTTACTGATCTGTCATTTCCCTTGATGAATTTGTGATTAAACATTACTTAGTTCTTGTTTCTTACTTGTAACTTGAAATTGCTTCAAAATGTGAAATTTACTGAGGTGTAATAAAGTTTTTTAATTTCTTACTCATTAGAAATGCTGTCTTCTGCTGTATTTACTGCATGTAAAAAGTAAAGAAGGCGAGGCAGCTGCTCAAATCTACTTTTTTACACAATTACAGAATATGTGGGGGTCATGCCCAGAAGGCTTTTCCCTGAACTTTATTGTTCCTGATAGTCGAATCTGTGCACCAGGGAGAAGAAAGGTTCCGATCAATGATGGATTGGCTCATCTACCTTTAGATTATGTCTCCCTGTGGTCAGATAAATGTCCATGCAGTGTGTTCCTGTTGAGTTAAGTCCCTCAGCATAGCTCAATGTAATCTCATTCAATCAGCACAGAGCAAAGGAAATGATTCCACTTTGTGGTACCAAATTGAGGCGATCCGTTTTGTCTACGCTTTATTCCCTTTGTAAGGAGAACAGGTGCAGTTCAATCTTTTTGTGTAATTTGGAGGAAATGATCTGCCGCACTGATGGTGCTGCATCAACTGAAGTTGTCTATATGGTGCAATTATATTACATTTGAGACACAGTGTAATTCAGACACTAAATCAAAATTGTTTTTAACTCTTACATGGAGTTGTCCCCTCATTTCACCTCCTTCCCTCTGCTTAAGAACAGGTTTTCTGTGTGACAACAGCCCCACTTCCTGGCCACAGTGTGAATCACATGCATTGTAAGTATGTTCTATTTGTATTTCTCCAGCAGAGGGCAGCCAAGAGCCTTGGATATTCAGCATACACTGTAAACACAAGTCAGTTTTTCTCACAAGACTGAGCAATATGTCTTTTGAAATGAGTCTACGCCATTAATTCAGATCACATAGGAGAATAAAGTGTGCACAGACCTAAAAGAGAGAGACTCAGAACAGACTAGAGTCAAACATGGAGTACCTTTATTCTTAAAACTTGTGATATTTACAGTTTATTAATTATGATTTTTACAGTATAAGGAGCAGTCAGAGGAATCCTCTCAAAACACAGAAGCTGCTAAAACTGAACTTTTATTTGCAAAACTTGCACATTTGATTCAAACACTAGTTTAATCATGTTTTGATATTAGTGGATGATGTTTTCAGGGCCTTCAGGGTTGGGCTAAAAATGGACAGCACTGAAATTACAGCAACACTCTTTACCTGAAGGCATGCTCCCACTATCCCCCAAAGGCTTTCATGGCTGAAGGCCAAAACCCTCTCAGCTCCCCTTAATCATCTTTATAGCCTAAATAAATGTGTGCATAAATCCAATATGTCATGCATCGACTATTTCCTCTTGGGACAGACGATAAGCAGAGGTCTCACTTGGTTTTGATTTATCTGTAGCTCATCTGATGATTTAATGGAGGCAGACAGGTGAGAAGAGGAGTCCCTGTTGGATTGGGAATTTGGTTTAGTGCTCAGGGAGATCTAGTGTGAAGTGTTCATGTCTGAATATAACTATTCGGAGATAGATGGATGTCCATCAGTGAATCTGGTTCTGTTTGAGGTCTTTTCTTACCACTTTGGTTAAAGGTTAGCTCGCGGTGGACACACTTTGGAACTTTCTAAAACACACCTAAAAGCACTGTCTGGTCCTGAGGTAATTATTGTTGCTATAAGGCTCTACATATGAATAGAAACATGACTAATTGACCGTGGTGTGAGCGAGATACTGCTGAGGTTCCTCCTGCACTTTCATAAATGAATAGATGCTGTAAAGTGCCAATCAAATCTAAAAAAATGTAATGATGAAAATGTTCTCTCTGTGTGCTGACAAACTTCCAAAGGCTTGCTGTAGCCTCCTCAGTCAGAAAAGGGCAAATAAAAAGTGACAGCCAATAATAGACCAGCACTGAGTGTCTGTTGACATCACGGCTTATCAGCAAGATGTTTAGCAGAAAACTGATAATGTGTGGATAGCCTTCACAGTGGATGCCTCCATAATTCATTAATTTACATTCGCCTTCATTGCGAACAGCAACAATGGCTATATGATGGGAATATTGTTATAACTGGAGCCTCATTTGCACATCATAGACATGCCAGCTGAGTATATCTCAAAGTGCATCTCATGCTTATCTAACTGAGAACAGACTGATTTCTTGCCACTTGAATATTCAGATTCTCAATTCCCAGCACACACCAGCAAAGAGGGGGGAAAAAGATAAAACACACACCTTAAAGATCATTAGCAAATAATATTTGGGGATTCGTGAAGAAAAACAGCGTTAAACACTTGTTTAATAATTCATACTATAAACAAGAAAGTCTCCCACTTCCTTAATAATTTAGACGTAAGCTAATGTTGATTTATTCAGGAAGGTCTCTGCCACCAGCAGCGCCTGCAGTGCCCAAATTTGAATTAAAGTAGGACAGTAGCAGGCGAGTCTGTAATAACATTTGTATAATTTTATTATTGCTCTGGGCTCAGTTCATTTCCTCCTCCAGTAGCTGCGTGAAATTGTTTGATTCTGGAAACTGCCTTGAGTCTGCGGCTCTGGGGTTGGAGGGTGGTACAGGAACAGGAAGGCATGCGACACTCTCTCTCTCTCTCTGTCTCTCTCTCTCTCTCTCGCTCTCTCTCTCGTCTGATGCTGTCAGACACATAAACACACACACAGAACTCCTCGTACACACACATGCAGAAGGAGAGATAAATAACTTTGTTATTCTGGGTTTGGTAATACTGTTACATTGGCTCACTTAATAACTCAAGCTGTCTTGAGAATATGATTGATATTCTCACTCACCTTGTCACTTATGATGAATATTTTACTGCGTTTTATGTGAGAGAGCGAGGGCGCAGAATAACTCATTCATTACATTATCAGATCATATAAATGTGAGAGTTTGTGTTTACGTCGTACTCCTGCAGAGACGTCGCCATTTCTCGTTTGTATTAGTCAAAGAAAGTCCACTTTGATGCTCCTGTGCGAACTGTTTGATTGTAAAGAAGCTGATTATTTTCACTTACACAACCAAATATTTCATTTAATTTAGCCCGCAAGGAAGATTAAACTTAGAAATCATTTGAAGGTTTATTTTGCCATCAAGTCTAATCTCCTGATCTTTACTCTATGGTGTTTGATTTTGTTTCCCAGTGATAGGACAATCGTTTCCAAATTGTTAATCTACAAAACTCTGATTACTCTAACACAAACAATCAAGTTTGGGGGGTATTAGCTCATGTAACGCACACCTGAGACCCCGGTGGCTTTGACACAGGAAGGGGGGGTGGAGAAGTTCTGATTGGTTTCCTCGGGGCTCTGCTTCCTAACTTCCCACCCGCACACATTCCCTCACTCCTCCTCCTCTTCTTCTTCCTCCCCCCTCCTTCAATTCTTTTATGCAGAGCAGCCCAAACTGCAGTTTGATGAAACACATTTGTTTGACTTAACTCTTCCCGCACCATCATGGGCTGAATCTCCGAGGCCTGTCGGTGTAATGTGGCCCAAAAGCAATCGGGTTAATGAGAGGATATATGTACAAGTGTGGGACTTGACCGGAGGAGCTGTTTTCCATTTGGGTTTGGTCTGCTTGTGTTATTAGGGAAACCTTTATTATTGTTGCCCTCTAGTGGGAACCATATAATAGGATTACATTTTATTAGAGCCTCCCAGCATTACCCAAGCAGCCCCCTCCTCTTGTCTCTCTTCCCCTCGTAGAAGTGACACCAACTCCTACGTCCACTGTGGGTGGGAAAGGTGGGTTCTGGGGCTGGAAGTGAGGCTGAAGAAGAGGGCAAAGGTGATCTTTGTCTGACTTGGTTATAGAAAAAGTGACATGTTCATAAAAAAACCTTTACATCAACTGAGCTGTTGGTACTACTGAGTAGAACAGACTGTGTGTGAGTGTTTCTTGTTCTCTTTGTACGCATGAGAACTCTAGAGCTGGCATGTACTAGATGTTCTTGGAGTCACAAAGACACACGTGAAGTACACGTTTTTTGGTTGTTGTAATGGCCACAGCCTCATAGGATAATAAAAAAATCCACTTAAACTCTTTCACCTCATTAGTTTACCACTCGAACGTTTTCATTTGCAGTAAACCACACAAAAACAAACAATCAATATACCAAGTTAGATTTCGAGTGTGGGTAGAACCACTACATTTCTTCCCTTAT